TGTGTGCCAGATGAACTGAAAATTATCACCTCAAAGGCACTTCACAATCTGGGCTCTATAGTTCTGATGCCAGAGAGCTTGACAGGGCAGAAGTTCAAAATGGGACCCCAATCCAGAGCTCTAGTGACCAGGTTCTTGTGCCACGAGAAAGAATTTGAGAACACAACAAATAGCGCAAGAAAAGTGCAAGCTTTATTAAAGCATAAGTACACACTTAAGAGAAAAGTGCCCGCAAACTCTGAGAGTTGCCTCAAACTGTCTGGATTACAGGCTTTATTTTCTTGGGTGGGGGTGGGGAGAGTAAGGAAGGTGGAGATGAGGTACTTGCAATACAGGTAGTATTATAATGATATTAGATAAGCCAAAACTGAACAAAAGATGAGGACATAGGAAAGACTCCAGAGCCTATCCTGAAGGGGAGGGGGATGTCCCAAGGCTATCCATCTGCCTCTGGGTCTTGGCTTGTTTCACACCACATGGAGGGGAAGGGGGCAACCCAAGGTTATCTATCCTGTCTCCTGACTTTGGCTTGTTTCTCACTGCTGGAATCTCAGGTTTGGAGTCAAAACAGGTAGAGGGCTGAGGAAGGGTTTAAGGAAAAATTCCAGAGGAGCATCCTTGAAGGGAGGGGAGAATGTCCCTAGGCTAACTTTCCTGCCTCAGTTCAAGACTTGTCTTCCCTCCTTCTTCCTTACTGGCCCCCACAAGGCTGTGAAGAGATTACCATAAGATCCTTCTTGGGGAAATTGGCAGTTCCCATCTTCAGTGCCACTCTCTTCTCTCTCGTTTGTTTCCTGTCTTCTTGGCTTCCTGCTCTTTTTCCAGTCTGGCTCTGCTGCACTTACATCCCCAAGGTGATGACTAATTTCTTTATATTCTTGACCTGATTTCTAGTCCGATTTATTCCCACTTATCACTGAGGCCTTTGTATAGCTCAGGTTTGAGCTGGAAGACCTGGACAGGAGTTTTGCCCACATCCTGACTAGCTGTGTAACTTGGACAGGTCACATAAGATCCTGAACCTGAGGTTTCTTTATCTTGTTTACACCTGCCCCATCTACTTCACAGAGTTGTGATGAGGGTCAAATAAAATAAATTCATAAAAGTGTTTTTAAAGCACAAATGTATAGCATTATTAATATTCCCAACTTCCTCAAGTGGCCTTGTCCACTCTGTGCTTTGATGCCCTGCATAAGCTTCAGTCGTGGTGCCTTTTCTGTTACTTGTTTGTTTACCTGTGAACCCTTGAGAGCCCTGTGTCTTATTCTCTTTAAATCTCCTGCTTGGCTCAGGGCTAGTTAGTATGGGTTAAGGACTCGGTAATCTTTGAATGAATGGGTGAGGAATGTCTGTCTAAAGGAAGTTTCTAGTCATAGTGTTTTGTTTTTGTTTTTTCTCCTGAACAAAATTTTCCTACTATATCTATATACTTCTTGAAGTTAGTGTTATTATAAAAGCAGCCCTTCGATACTTATATTCCCTATTGCAGGAAGCCAAATTCCAGTGCCTGTGGCTGCCTTCTTCATGATTTATACTTACTTTATAAATATTCATCTGATGAGTTTTTAAAAATAAGACAAATCAAAGAATCATCCTGAATTTTTAATTAGAGATATAAAATATTTGATATTTAGTTTTTGTTTATATATTTAACAAATATGTGTTGAGTACCAAGCTCTGTTCCTGGGGCTGGGAATATAGTAGTGAACAAAACAGATGAGATTCCTGTCCTTATGCAGCTTCTATTCTGGTGGGATGCCAATCAACAAAGAAGTAAATGAGTAAATGAGATAATTTAAACTAATCTTAAGTGCTGTCAGCGGGATTCACATGAATAGGATGCCCAGACTAATAAGGAGTTCTCACACATGTAAATAAACTGAGTTACATTACAGATGTTATGCTCTTAGTTTCAGTGTGTATTGGGTTACCTCGAAGGGATCTAATTGGTTAGTATTTTTAAGCCCAGCACCATCCATGCCTCATTCACAAGAAAGATAGTGAACGGCTGAGGAAGAAGGTGGCTGTTACCTGGACTTTTGGCTTCATGAAAGCATCTCAGTCTGTATGAGGGCTCCTCAACCTTGACCAGGACCCTCTTTGTTCAGGTGATGTTTCTGTATCTCCCTCAGAGAGGAGGGAGGCCCAAAGGAGATGGGGGAGTCATTGGTTGTCTAGTAACCTTTCTGTGCCATCTTGCTGGATCAATGCAACCACATCCTCGATGCAAGGGAAATTGTTTGCTTGCATCCTGTGAAGCCCAGCTGGTGAGCAGTCAGTAGTCGATCCATTGCAGAGTCTATGAGGAAGAAGGCAGGGTGATAGGATGAAATGTGAAGAGTGACATATGAGGACGCTTTGTCAGTTTGTGTGATCTAAGTTCTGAAGGATGTAAAGGAATGAGCTATATGAAGATCAGGGATGGGGGCAACATACTAGAGGTGCCCAAGTGGGGAACACGTTTGGAAAGTTTGGAGAATGGAAAAAAGTCACAGTGACTAGAGTGTAGGGTGTGAAAGAGAGAGTGATATGAAATAAAATTGGCATTGAATGGAGGAAATCATGCAGGGCTTTATAGGCCATGGTAAGGAGTTTGGATTTTATTTTAAGTACTACTAGAGGCCATTGGAAGGTTTTGAGTAAAGGAATTATCTGATTTGATTTACATTATGAAATTTTCCTGTTGACTGCAGTGCGGAGACTACAGAGGTGAAGACTAGAAGTAGGGAGCCCAGGCAGTGGACATGGTTGCAGCCTGGGCAAGGATTCATGGTGATATATGCCAGGCAGGGCTGTGGAGGGCAAGAAGCGGCCCAAGGCTGGAACATATTTGCGATGAAACTGACACACAGGAGATGGGCTGTGAAAGACTAAGAAGAACCCAGGATGATGTCTAGATTATGGCTTGAGCAGCTGGGTGGGGAGATCAGCATTTGAGTGGGGAAAACAGTACTTTCCTTAGGACATGTTTAATTAGAGAAGGCTTTTAGACCTCATATGGAGAAATCCAGCTGGCAAAGGCTGGGAGAGTAGAGCTTGAGGGGTAGGGGATTGTGGTGGGTGTGTCAGGGCTACAGACAGAAATTGGGAGTCCTTAGTAGAGGAATAAAATTTCTCTCTTGATAGACTCAAGGATTTGAAGGAGGGTTAGGCTTTTTTTTTTTTTTGATTTTTATAGGCCTATGATCTAATGGTTTACAAGTTGTGGTCATTATCATTATCAAGAAAATATTGAACTAAATGCTGTGCTACATGCAGGGGGACATAGTGATGTATGAGATAGACTGGGAGTTCTATGAGGGTAGGGAGTATCTCTAAAAGAGAAGACAGATCATTCCATCAGAATTAAATCAGGAATTCCATCAGGAATTAAATAAACAATAACATGTTTTAGGATAGGGGAAGAAGAGGGCTATGGGCCACATAGTAGAGCCACTGACCTAGTCTTGGGGTGGGCTGGTATGTTTCAGCTGACCAATGAGTGGTGAGTAGGAACAGGCTACATGCATGCTTTAGCAAGAATAGTTAGTGGTAGATGAGTTAGCAACTTATATTGGAGTGAAAACAAACAAAACCTTCATTGGAACTGGCACATTCTGCGGAAGGCACTCAAGGATGCCTTGGCAAGATTTTATACTCATAAGAATGATAATATGTGGGTAAATAATACTAGTTTCATTGTTAACTGCTTCCACATAGGTTAATTTGTTAGTTACTAGGAAATTTCATTGCTCTGTACTCACTTTTCTTTTGGGGCAGGAAATAGAATATGAAATTGGAGCTCATATAACTTTAAAAACACCTTATGTGCATTATTTCAAAGAACCAGGGCAGATTTTTGCATGAAAGACTCTATATAGTCCTGAGAAAAAAACAACTCTTTAGATTCACTAGCATTAGTGTTAACTTTATAGAATTTAAACATAGTAATGGGTGTGTTCGCATATATTGACAGTTTTGGGACCCCAAAAGCAATTGATGCCACTCTGTTATAGATTAAATAACAACACTTTTTTTTTTTTTTTTTTTTTTTTTTTTAGTAATCCTTATATAATTTTGAGGAAGCTGCTTTTCATTTTCTTAAGGTTGCTATTGTATTCTTCCAAAGAGCCAACACCTTGGTCAGGACCCTGTTGTAGAGGGCACAAACAATGTTGTTTGCTAAAGGAAACATACAAAAGTATGTTGACAGTGGATAATTACTCTGACCAGAGTTGTGAGGGATGATTGAGCCCCTGTAAGAAATGGCTGTGCTGCTGGCTCGGCCCCAGGTGGAGTTGTTGCTGAGCTAATTTCCCTATATAGCTGGTGCAACAGGGAGAAACACTGCTCAAGGCAACTGTAGGAACACATGGAGGGCCTCACCATGTCCAAACAGGAATGGGACAGGTCACTAGAAGCTGGAGGGAAGGCAGTGACCACAGGTCCAGTTGGAAGTGGGTGGGTATGGTAGAGAGCACCCTGTGGTTCTCTAGAGCTGGTTTTAAGTCAGCAGGGAGCTGGGAGAGACTGGGCCATAACTCCACCAGCAGAATTGTTTTCCAGACGTACAAACCCATCCCTCTTATGGCCTATGTCGAAAGCCACCTTCTCCATTAACTTCTACTTCTGCATCCCCTAACAGGAAGTCATCTTGGCCCTCCCCAGACCCTCATGTAGTGCTGACCATCTAGCTGGTTTTATAGTGCTGTGCCCCTCTGGCTCTGATCTCCTTGATTTGATTTCAGTCTCCTTCAGGAATCTGCATGTGAGTGTGTGTGTGTGTGTGTGTGTGTGTGTGTGTGTGTGTGTGTGTGTTTGGGGGTGGTGTGCCCAAGCCCATTCAGAGTTCTCAGTGGAGAATAAATGGACGAAAATACTTTTTTGTTGTTGTTTGTTTTGTTTTGTCTTACAAGGGGGATAAAGCTAGTTTTTACTTTGTTTCATTTCTTAAAAGTTTGGTTGTGAATTCTGATAATTGTATAAGGTTATTGTCATAAATGGAAACTTTTTCTTTTCAGATAATGTGGATGCAAGTGAACTTAAGCAGTTTTTTGAGACCAACTATTCTCAGATATATTTCATCTTCTATGAAAATTTTATAGCACTGGAAAATAGTTTGAAATTAAAAGGTAAGCATTTCTACAAAAATTTTCTTTTGATATTTCTTTTAAGTTTATTTTTGTTTTGTTTTGTTTTTTAAACTGTTCAAGAGGTTTTCATGCACTTCAAACTCAAGACTGCCCAAAGCTGCACTCATCCTCTTATCTCCCAAATCTGGCCCCCGTCCAGGGTTCCCACTGCCGTAATGGCAGCTTATGAACTAGACACTAGACTCAACATCCTGGAGGCATCTTTGACTTCTCCTTCTTGTATTTCTTTTCCTCATATCCATGAAGTACCTGTGGGACACCCAGGTATAGATTCCGGCTGGGCAGTGAAAATATAGGGACTGGAACTTGGAGGAGAGAGGTGCAATCATGCTGTCGCCAAGGAAGAAAGTATATGTAGAGAAAGAGTGATAGTTATAGATTTGGGATAATTCCTTCCTTTACTGGGCAAAGAGGAAAGATAAAGGAGTAGTAGCAGAGGGGAGGGTGCCAAGAACGTGTTTTGTCACAGAAACCCAGAGAATAATTTCAAGGAATGAAAGATCAGCGATGCCTGATGATGCAAAAAAGTCAGGAGCAGCAGGACTAGGAAATGATAGTGCATTAGGAGGCTGTCACTGACGAGTGAAAGAAGAGTTCTGAGTAGTGGGATTGGAAGCCAGACAGAAATGAAGTAACTGGGTGTAAGACCATGAGGGCTACACATGAGAATACCCTTTCAAAAGTGTGATGTTGGAGACAGGATTGTATCTCAATGGGTAGCTTGGTCATGGTAAGATTTTAAAGGATGCATTTGCTTGTTTGTAGGCTGAGGAAAGGGAGATAACTCAAAGTGCAAGGTAATGGGGGAAGTGGGTTGAGACAGGGTCAAGTATAAAGAAGAAGACATGGAGAGGAATGTATAGATGCTCTGCTCTCTTCTTAAAACCTGAGGCAAATGTCAAGTATGGAGGGGAAGGAATTCGGGGTGAGGTGCTGTGGTAGTCTCTGACATAGAGCATCTGGCTCAGTCTTACAGAATGCTCCAGGCTCTATCTAGTAGGGCATCAAGTCATATAAAGACATGTGGCCAGGATGCCAACAGGTGTTTTGTTTTGTTTTTTAATGAATTGCTGGATTTTCCCCCTGTGACTTATAAGTTGATTAAAAACCTTGAACTTAATTTTTTTTTTTATCAAATTGGTAGGTATTCCAAATATGAAATGATTTGATTATTATCTTGTTTTTTAGCTTTGCTCTACTTCATTTTTTTTTCCATAGGTGTGTGGAGGAGAAAAATGTGATATTATGTGTAGCTAAAATAGCAAAGAAAAAAAAAAAACCCATATCTTTAAAAAAAAACCCCTTCAACCTAAAGACCTTGTTTTTAAAGGGTACTCCTGCCCTCCCTCTTCCCCCTTTTGCTTCCTCTGTCTTTTCTTTTAGAAAAATGTAGCTGTTTAAGACTGTATCATTTAGTTTGTGCTACATGACAAATCATCCCCAAAATGGATGCCTTAAAACAACAGGCAGTCATTTAGCTATGATTTTCCAGATCTGTTGGGCAGTTTTTCTGGTATAGGCTAGCTTATGCCTCTTCTGGCAGCTATTGGCCGATGGCCTCATTCACATGTCTTGTGGTTGGCAAGCTATTTAGCAGGGTGCCTTAGTTCTCCTCCATGTGGCCCCTCTTCTCCAGCCAGCACACTAACTTGGGCTCTTTCAGATAGTGGCCTTAGGGTTCCAAGCTTAGGAAGTGTGTTTTTAAACTTATGCTTGCCCCCAATTTGCTAATGTCACATTGGTCAGAGCAAGTCACATGGCATCTCAGATTCAAGGTCACGGAGAAGTAGACATCTCTTGATAGGAGAGAGAAAAGCTCTCTCCATTTTTACAGCCTACTGCAAAGAATCATAAAAAACTAGTACCAACGGTGAGATTTTGAAGTTTTTTGCTTTTAGTACAATCTGTGTTTTTGTTGGAGTTCAGGGAAGAAAGTGAACCAAAACAAAAGAATAAAGGAAGTGTTTACTAAGAATCATGAACTCATCTTGTGATAACTTCAGCCTTCCAGTATTCAGGCAAGATCCCGAGTTATTGGCTCTACCTTCAAAATAGATCTAGAATCGTTGGCCTCTTCTCATTGCCTGTACTAGTAATGCTGAACCTCCCATTATCCTCACCTGGATTATTGTGCTTTCCCCTCCCTCTTTAACTCCTACTAAACTCTCTTCAAAAGAGCAGCTGGAGTGGTGCTTTAAAAATGTGAGTCAAATCATGAGTCTCAGTGCTCCAAACCATCAAATGACTTCCCATTTCTGATGTCATTATAATAGCTTCAGACACTATCTACCTGCCTTCCTTTACCCCACCTGTTCTCTAACCTCACCTGCTACAACTCTCCCCTTTTGCTCCAGACATAAGGACCTTCTTGCAACTGCCTTCCTTTCTGACCATGCCAAACCTGCTCAGCCATAGGACTTTGCACTGTCCAGTTTCTCTGCCTGGAAATTATTTTCCCCAAATTGTTTCCTTACCCCCAAATTTCAGTGTGGCTTACCTCTTTTACTTCTTTGCTCAGGTGCACCTTATCAGCAAGGTGTTCCCTTGATTTCACTAGTCAAAATTGCATACCACTCTTTTTGTCATTCCCCATCTCCCTTTCCTTTTGGTTTTCTCACGTATTCATTTATTGAATGCCTCTTTTTGCCAAAATGCAAGCTTCCTTAGGACAGGGCTTGTTGCGTTTTGTTCACTGCTGTCTCCTCAGGTCCTGGAATAATCCTTGACATAGAGACATTCTTTAGTATTTGTTCAATGAATGAATGATATCTACTTCATAGACCTATAGAGATTCATTTAGATTGGGGGTCCACAACTTATAGCTTGCTGCTTGTTTTTATAAATCGAGATTCATTGCACACAGCCATACCCATTCATTTGTGTATTACCTATGGCTGCTTTTGCACTATAACCCCAGAGTTGAGTGATTGTAAGAGAAGCCCGAAAATCCTAAAATATTTACTGTCTGGCCCTTTACAGAAAAAGTTTTCTGATTCCTAAGTTAGATAATATATACCAAACAGCACAGCACTTGATATATAGACTGGACAATAAATGGTAACTGCTGTTGTAGATGTTATAGTTTTTACTATCGTTATTATCAAAAGGACAGTGTGCAATTACCTAAAGAGATGTATGACTTTTTATAGTTATTACTGCTCTATGCCTCTTCATATCACAAAGTTAGAACTCTGTGTTTAATTACTGTGCATTTTATCATAATTTGACCTTATAAGTAACTAATTGAGAAACAAATAAATTACCTGTCATGGGTTGGTAACAACTTGGAAAACATGGGAGATGTGTTTAAATAGCTAGCAGGGAGCAACTCTGCTAGATGTTCACCCAGGTGGTTTGGCTCAGTAGTCCACTTGCATTCCTAACAAGGGCTCCACACTACTTTCTGATGTTATTTGAATAAATAAATGTATGTTGAGGCTTAAATGTTAAGATATCTTTTAACATAATTTTTTTAATATCCTAAAATTTACGTATTGTCATGATAACTGATTTTTAAAATATATTGCAGGGAATAACAAGTCACAAAGGGAGGAGCTGGACTCTATCCTCTTTATTTTTGAAGTAAGTTTTTGTTAATTCATTTGGCTTTTAAGATTCTTGTTGAAAATATGGTATTGTAGATCTTTAATTTCACTTGCAAACACATAAAAATGATGGACATGTATTTCTTCCCTTCTGCTTTTACAAACAATGCTGCTATGTTCTTGTGATTTTTTTTTGCAAACACAGAATTTTTTCTGTGCGACTACCTAGATATGAAATTATTAGATAGAAATATATGCACATTTTAAATACCGATGTTGCCAAATTGCTCTTCAAAAAGATCATGTAAACTTATATGTAAGATTTATGTAAATTTCTCTAACCAACACTGGAGATGACTTGTCTTTTTCATATATGCAAACTGACATGTAAAAACTGTTTTTAACACATATTTTTGACTACTAGTGAGGTTGCCATCTTCGTGTGTGTCTGTGTGTCCATGTGTATTGATCATATATTCTCTTTAAAGGTGGAACACCGTTTGGGTGTGTTTTTTGCTCTAGTAAGCTTAAAGTCTTTCTTGTCCAGCTGTACTAGACAAGTGGCCAGATTACTGATACCTTGAGAGCTATACCAGAAACAAATTATAGGTTCTGAAAGTTAATTGTTGGTTACCTAGAAATTATTTAGGGATTGAAGAGAAGTGTGCTTAAGTTGATGTGAGATCAACTTTATGACTGTAAAGGAAGGGCCTAATGTGTATTTGTTGAAGATCTAATTGTAGTGGGAGGCCAGGAGAGGAAGGCTGTCTTGGGCTTTCTGGGTTTTTAAACCCAGAATAAAACAGATATGGAAACCTTCTCCTGCCCAGGACTTACCTCATGGCTGATGCTTAGTAACTTTCTCTCCAATGAGGGCTATACTCCTTTCCCAGAGTAACAAACATTCATTCACTGCATATTTTATGGTGGTTATTGTGTTTCCTGTAGTAACTCTCCTGTGAATGAAGTCTGTGCAGAGTTTTAAGATGCGCAAGGGAGTTTCTCTAGGATGGCAGCTGTGACTCCGTTATAAAGTGACTCCATTTATATTACTTTTTTGGTTATTTCTGCTGTCTTTCATAATGGCTTCTTTTCTTGCCTGTTTTGTGGTATGATTATGAGGTCAGATTTAATGAAATATAGGTAAACAAATTAAAATTTGTTTTAATCCTGTTTTTTTTCCTAGAGGGTTTTGTCTTTACTTTTGCCAGGAGTCTGGGAATGTTCTTTATTGGGATCACTAGGGCTTAATTTGAGTGTCCTGGTTTATTCATGGAAACTCAGGTTCAGTTTCTCAAACTAACCGTGTGGTGGGAACTGGGGTCTGTAGGGTATAGACATCTGTGGATACTACTGTGGAACTGCTGTCTGGCACCCTGCAGTTTTTCTTGAGCTTATTGCATACAGACCAGCTGCTCACTTTTCTTCCCTCTTACTTTCTCTCTTACCCTTTTTAAGTCCCCTATTAGTTTTCCTATGTCCTTCAGAGTCCAGAAATGTTTTGAGAATTATACTTGCTGTCACTGATCTCAGGTCTAGTTGTCCTGCAACAGGAAAGCCCATCAGGATCTGTCGTCCTGTACCTCCCACAGAGGAGGTTTCAATACCATATCCTCATGTCCAGAAATTCTAGACGAGAGGAGGGTGTTATTACTTATACATTACCTCTACAGAGGATTAGTTGCCTATATAATAGGACAAATATATATTACTCAAGTCTTCATAAAACTCTCACATTGCATAGTAAATATGAATGAATAATGAACTTGCATTACTTTCGTTATGACTTATATTCGCTCTCTCTGGTTTTAGAAGGTAGGTTGTAATTTGTATTATTCATATGAGAATTAAGGAACTTCATTGCTGCTTTCTACAAGTTAGTGCCATATAAAGAGATAGATAGTTTATGAGGATTTGGAGGTCAGTACTTACCAAGGTGTATATAATTGGGAAAGACTTTCTTAAGACATGTTAAATCACAAAAAGGAATCTGTATAAAGATAGTTGATAAATAAGAAATAGATTGGAAGAAAGCATAGAGATAAGAGAGTTACGAAGGCATGAAAGAAGAGTATGTAATGAGACCTGCTGTCTGCCTTTGTAAGTCAGGGGCAATCTGGAAGGAAAACTTTGAAAAAGGAAACAGTAGTTTTTAGATGTAGTAAGCTACTAGAGACGTACGGTGCTCTGATAAAGCAAGTGGTGTGCAATCAAGGCCACCGGCCCAGTCCAAGTTGCAATTTCAGGCAGCGAGAAGACTTTTCCATTGCCTTTATCTCCAGTGGGAGTACTTGTAGCCCTTGGAAGTTGACCTCCAGCCACCTTTGCTTGTGGCTTCAAATCTGTATACCACTTAGAGTTTCTATTGTTGCTGGTTCATGGAGATGTTTGTCACATTTTTTTATTGAGGTTATGACTTTAATTTTACTCTTCTTTTGAAAACATATTTCATTTGTCATTGCTATATGTTTCAGATGGGCAGGTGCGACCCCATAAAATGAATTTATATTGCATCTTGACCGGAATGTAAATGTTTTCATGTGCCATTCTGTTTAATTCTTTCCTTGTGAAGGAGATTTTGTCTTCCCAGTTTTTATCGATGGAAGAATGGAAACTTTGTCATGTTAGATGACATGTTTAAGATTGCACATCTATCAAATGATAGGTAGAGATTTAACCTCCAGGCTGACTCTAGAACCCATTTCCTTAACTCAGTGCCATACTGCCTGCTACTTATGAGTCTTGATATTCTCCTGCTTCTCAAGCTGTGTTCCACAGGCCATCTATTCCAGGATGCACCTATTCTTGTACAATTCATTCGTTTATTATACACATTTATTGGATACCTGCTATATGTCAGGCATACTAGGTGCTGGAGATATGGCAGTGGGCAAAACTGAATCTCCTGCTCTCATGGAGCATATATTAAATTTCATAGTAAACCGAAGAGGCCACTGGTAAGACTGGACTTATGTTAGACCTCCAATAATGATCTTCTGAGTCACAGAGAATTCTGAATGACCCTTTTCAGAAGTTTCACTTGGTGTTGGCCCTTGACGGGGCTACCTGCATAGGGGAAAAGGAAAATTGGTGTAGAAATATAAGGTGAATAATTCACTTGACTTTGAGAATCTTTTCGACTCCACAGTTGTGAGGTTATTTTAATGGTATCTGGAATTTGTTTTAATCAGATATGGTAAGACGTGGAGATATGAAAATAATTGGCATGAAGAAAGAAGTTTTATTTTATTCACAGTCTCTTAGAAACAGGAGGCATGATGTATCACATAGAGCTATACAGAGAAGCACCAAGGTAAAATGAGTAGGCAAAGAGAGAAAACTGATGGTAAGAGTCTTTATTGTGGTTTTTTTGGGAAGGAATGGGCAAGGCAAGGTAGTTGGGATAGTTTGAATAATTTTGGTGGCATCTAGGTTGTAGGGATGGTACCTAGTTGTCCCCTGGTGATTTGGGCAGGGGAATAGTGTCCCAGAGTGTGAGACCCCATAAAATGAGGTGTTTGGGGGGTGTGGATTTGGAATTGGTTGGGATATCAAAGGCATGGAGCAGTACTATCTTTAGGAATTAGCTAACCGTGGGAGAGGCAATCTCGTCCAGGTCAGCAAGGCCCCAGAATGTAAGAGCATCAAGAATATAGAAAATGAGAAAATACAGTTATCACAGAGATGTGTCAAGCTGCCATGTTATATGCCATCCTTCTTTAGTAGAGGAATGGAATAATTTGGAGTTCTTTATATGTGGTTAAGAAAGCGTCTAGAATATGATAGCAAGGCATTTCTTTACTCTCCCACACTCCAATTAAAATTTACTATACATTGACAGAACAAATTTAATTTCAAAACCAACATATGATCTGACCTCAGAATGCTACTCATTTATCTGTTTTTCAAATATCACAAAGTTAGAAATCACAAGTACACAGGACATTTGATTTCTAAATTAGAACCCTAATTTTAAAATTTATCCAAATTATCCCTTCAAATTAAATAAGCCCAGTTTTTTTCTGTCTTAGAAAACACGTTCTTTATAATCTGTAAAGTGTGGCCCAAGCTGGTCTAACACACAGAGTCCCCTTGGGAGTTCCAGTGTGGCTTTGTTTCACATTTCGTTGGTGTTGCTCTGTGGAAGTGCTCTGCCACACACATACCGCTTTGCTTATTGCCCCTTTACCTCTTTTTTGCTAGTTTTACTTCTGTCTCCTGGTTTATGCAATTCTTTCTTCAGGGACTGCCCTTTGCTCTCTTTCTCATCTGGCCTATTTTTTCATGCTCTATTCAGACCCACTAATTTCTTCTGGCAACTCCAGCTAGAGCTGCCCATTCTTCTCTATAAATTCATATAATATGCTCCCACTTGTTAGCATTTGATACAGCTGGATATTCTTAGTTTTCTCTTAATGTGGTTATGTCTTAGCTTCCTAATGAGACTAAAGTTCCTGAGGCCAGCAACTTGATTTATAATCTTTTGTATCTTCCAAAGTGATTTGTACCTGTTAATATTTATTGTTGGGTTAAAAAGCCTCTTAAAGTCTCAACTTATCTCTCATGTGGGTGTTTGGTATTTTTGTGTTAAAAACATTTTCTTTTCTTACCTAAAACTCTCTGAGTAAAAGAGATAGAAAAAAGGTAGCAAAAGTCTGGCTAGGTTTATTAGATCAGGCTTTGACACTAACAAGCTGTGTGGTCTTAAGGTATTTTACCTTGACTTTCATGTCTATAAAGTGAGGGAAGGGACTAGATGAGCTCTGGGGTCTCTTTCAGCTCTACCAACTTATGGTACTACATACAAATGTAGCTTTGTTTAAAGTCTTCAAAACAAGTTCGTGAGAGAAGTCATTTTTAGCATGAAATTTAGTTTTAAGTTTTATGCTTTCATTTAATTTTAAATATTAAATTGATTTAACTGTGATTAGCCTTTGCGTAGCTAAACATCTCAGTTACTTTGTTCTCTAGAGCAGCTCTGTTCAATAGGACTTTCTGTGATGATGAGAATATTATATATCTGTGCTCTTGAATTAG